AAACTTTTATATAAAACTGGATGAAAAAAAAAGAACCTCAGATTTTTAAAGTAGGAGACATTTGTCAAAGCACTAGATTTGTATATTTGCTTCTTGCAAGTTTTTTTAATCATTATGAGGTAGCAAGCTTGTACTACTGATTTTCTTTCACCAATATACCAAGGAAAGTTAGAATCTTTTATATGACCAGTACTAAAGCCCAATTTGTAATCAGTGGCAATTTTTCCTAATTAAATCATGAGAAATACGATATGAAAATGAACTTACTGTGTATGTTCTAGAGAAAAAAATTGATAAAATAATTTTTATCTAAAGTTTTATGCCTGTCAGCTTAGCAGGACTATAAACTGCATATTAAAAAGCAAACAAGCAAAACTTGTTCAGCTACCTCAGAATAAGCTATCTCTTTCTGTACATGATTTATTATAAAGAAGATAAATTTTACTTATCTGCATATCACCATGCAGGATTCAGCTATAAGAAGTAAAAATATTAAAAACTGAACTAATTTTTCATTTTAAGTCTTTCAGTCACTCACAAAATAATGTGCTCAGCCACTAATTTGATTTTCCCCAGACATACCATGCTTTTGTTTCAAGGTATAAGCAAATCAAGCCTTCTTGGAACACTTAATTTATACTAACAATTCTTCTAAGCCTCTGAGTAGTTCCTGTTCCCATTTAACAGAGACTGGTGTGGGGACAATTGTACTTACACATGTAGAATAATTGATCTAGAGAGGAGCTAAAAAAAAAAATGAATTCAAGTTCTGGTACCCATGAGTATTTTCGTATCTTTATCTCAATCCTCATACTTCTTTGGGTAGGTAGACCTGTGATAGCATTGTTCACACTATGCCTTTGGCATATTATGAATTAAAGACTTTTGCAGGCAAGTGAACTACCATACATAGCATCACCTCTGTGAGATCACATACCTCATCTTCTAAACAGGTGACTTAGTATTGATCTTCTTAATCACCAATGATTAAGAATCACTTATTCTTAATGGTGCATAAACCTGGTGCAAAGTGGGGACCTGTTTAAAAATAGTGATGAGTAGTACTTGCATGGAACACTGCAGGTAATAAATATTTTATCTCCATGATCTCATTAAAATCTTGCCATGAATCTAGTTGATAGGCAGGGATTATTATGACTGCTTTCTTAAGAAAACCAAATGTGTGACAGTTTATATCACTTCTCAGAGCTACAAACCTAGTTGTGAGAACTAAGACCATATTCTAGATTCTGTCCTAGAAAATGAAGCACCTTTCCCACCTCTACTGCCAGTGTCTCTTAGAGTTCCAAGTCATAAAGCAGTAATTCTTCATTTGATAGTGACTCACTTGATTTGATCAATTAGAATAATCACCAATTTCAGATTCTTTAGGATCTTAGGACCTTGATACTTATTTTGATGTCAAGCTTACTTACGAAGACAAAAGTATATTTTGAGCTGTTAATTTCTCATCTAGAATACTAAAATTTTAACTTCAGCAGTACCTTGATCTATCACTTATAATTACTTGTCTCAGTTTTATGAGTAATCCTAAATTAAGAAATAAAGCTAGTATGTGTGCTCACTGCCTAAAGAGAATCAGACATCAGGCCAATGCGAAGTATTACAGATGCACTTTTAAGAAAAATCTATTCTTCAGATATTTATTTATTTATTGCATCTTTTGTAGAGAGATGTGTTTGGATATATACTTTTTGTTCAGGTTTATGCTTTATAGGAATGTTCATAAAGTAAAAGGTGTGGAGGTAGATTGATGAACATAGTCAATGACATTGGACAACAGAGAAGTTCTGTAGTACCTCCTGAAGAACATTGTAATGTCAAGTAGGTATATGTGATAGCCCATAAACACAGGAACTTATCCAAATATTTGTTCCTGCCTGCTAGTGGCCAAATAAAAGCTGTTTTACATTTGGAGATTATGGGCTTTTAGCTGTTACTTAACTGAACAAAATATTTTTTTTTACCTTTCAAATTCAAAGTCAAGCTCACAAAGCTTGAATGTTTTCACGTGTACCTTCAAATAAGTTCTTTATTCTCTATACTTCAAATTATTGCTAATTCTACAAGTTGGAATTTGTCTAACCTTTCACTTTAAAAATTTTACATTTTTAATTATACTAAATGATTTGCAGCCTTTTAGTCAAGGCCAGTTTCTTTTTTTTTCCAAGTAGCTATCCAACTGCTTATGACGTTTATAAACAGAAAGGATCTTTGTACAATCATAACTTCTTCATTTCCCTTCTGGTAGGGTATAGTTGCACATTCTGAATGGGCAACTGCTCACTTTATGCTGAAGTTTAATTATAGGAGCAAGGCTTTGACATCTTGCTCTCCGTGGCAAGATTTAAAAGATCATATAGTCCCTGGAAAAGACAATACTGTCTTAAAGTGGAAACAATCTTTAGGAATGAGTAAATGGATAGGGGAACATGGGCATGGTATGTGTAAGGGAATAAACAACTTAAAACTACTATGATTTCTAACTATCCTATAAGGCTTTTTTGTGTGTCATGTACTATTACAAGAGTTTGGGCTACTTGCCAGTGCAATTTCCTCATCAAGTGAAATGTATTTTTTTCCATAGAGTATTTTCCATAAAATAGTCATCAAAATTTGATGGTACTCTGCATTTCAACTTTTAATTTTTTCCCATTAAATCTCTAACTCTTATTTAAATCACTAGGCCCCTTTTTGTAGGGTATCTTTTCTTTGTCTTCTGTTGTTAGTTATCCAAATAACAATGGATCACTACATTCTTCCAAGAAGCTAAATAATATTGTGACAAATGGAATTTGTTAGTAAAGAATTCTTTTCACCAGATTTCTTAATGGAATTTAAAGATTTGCTTTTAGTAAATTATTTGTTATAATTTTAAGTTTAAAACATTTATCCATTTTACAGATGTGTAAGACTGCTTAAAGAGGTGATTTGACTTTTAATTTTTCATTGGAGTTCTCAGAAGTGATGTGGTTATATCTTGGTCTGTGTGCCTGAAAAAACTCATATAAGAGAGTATCTAGTAATAGGCATTGTGTTAAAAGTAAACTTACTATACTATTGCTTAATTCTTTGTATCCTTTTCATGGGTTCTTGCCCCCAAATCCGATCAGCAATAACAGCATTTCTTGAAATAAATTATTACTACAATTCTAATACATTTTTTTCCAGATAATGGATTCATACCTGACTCACTTCTAGAAGATGTGATGAAAGCTTTGGACCTTGTTTCAGATCCTGAATAGTAAGCTAAACAGGAAGTGTTGTCTTTTTGAATACAGATTCCACTAAATTTTAAAGATGGATACATTTTTGTTTATTTACTTATCTTAAATATCAGTTTATGTAAGGCAAATATTTGAGAAAAAATCAGATAAATCCAATATATTAACATATTTAGCATGCGTTTTCTTTCCCACTCTGAGTTTTTGCCTTTTTTTTTTTTTTTTGGTGCACTGTTCCTGGAGGTACTGCAATACCAGGTCGATGCGTGGAGTGGACGGAACAAGCTCCTATTCCATCTCCCTGTTCCAAAAATCCATTTAATATATTGTCCTCGGATAGAAGACATATCAGATACTAAACTGATAAGAACAAATACTACACTTGATCTTAGCCAAAAGTTCAAGAAGCGATGAGTTTTTGTCTTAAGTAAAGATAACTGAAGACATTGAACATTTCTAAGTGATTAAATTAACTTATCTGAACCCTTTGTATGTAGAACATAGATTTTAATTATTGCCTTAATGTGTCTTATACATTGTTACATTTATAACTTATTTCACAGATTCTTTATTATCCATGAGAAAATCTCTTTTAATAAAGTGGTTATATGCACTGATCAAACATGGAAATAAAAATGAAGATCACTTAGGATCTACACTAACTTTTTATTTTCCTGCATAGTTTTTTCCTTCTGCAAGTTTTTTCTTACAATGAACAAACTTTAACTTACAAAATATAGAGTCAGCAAAAGCAGCATGAAACATTAGTATGCACAGTTTTTAGAATCTGGTTCTATTCTGTTTTTAAATAAACTCAGGTATGCTTTTTTGAAAGTCTGGAATATTTAGAAACTAATTATATCTCAATCAGTATGCCTCAGTCATTTTACAGTTGTATTTTATCTATTCTCAATAGTTAGAAGTGATTGTTTCCAGCTGAAAGAGGAAAAATTCAGCAAGAATTGAACTAATCCATTAAATGGTATTATAATAATTACTGTGTTTCTCCTAAACTGATTTGTAAGTAGAGACCCTCTTGTTTATTCTGCTCTAATTTGCAAAAGAGGATGGAACTAAAATAATTTTGGTTACTGACGATTCTTAAGGTGGGAAGAAGGAAGAATGAAATGGTTATTTTTGTTTTTCATTTTCAAATTCTTACATAAATAGCTATATACATTCAGTTTCTTCAGAATACATAATACCTCTTGAATTGTTACTACAATTGATTCAAAGTGTTTTTCTAAAAGTAGCTAAAAAGATTGAACTTAGTTACTTACTGTGTGCTTTGGCCTAATCACATTTATAAAATGTGATGCATAAACTAGACTGTATTAAGGAATATAAAAGTTAAGTATAGAAACAGTGTTTCATATCCCTGTTCATATCATAGCCTCACAGTCTTGCTCAGACCCGCTAAAAGTCATGTCCTTTCTGTACAACACTAGATGAGCTATTTCATGGCTGTCAGGATTCATGATAACATGGGGAATAAAACTTTTCTGAAAAGACCTTCATTTTTAAAACCCTTCAAACTGCAGAGAAAACCCTTTTTTCTGCCTTCTTTCTAGTCACGCATGACAGTGTTTTCCACCAGTCTGGTCTACACCTAGGTGGTAAGGGCTATGCAGCGATCTGTTGTCTATAGCCCACTGCTGGACCAGTGAAGTGCATGCACTTGCTGGAATTCACTGTCCTCAAGCTGAGAATTGTCCTACTTCTTTAACCTTCAAGTTAGATTGCTGAAGAATTTTAAGCCTGTATTTCATTTAGTTCTTGAAGTTTAGCTTTTTAAGAAATGTTTTTGATTATGTAATGTACCATTGCCTTTGACATGTTTCTTTTTTCTCCTTGGACTTAAAAATAAACATTTTTTCAAGTTAAATGCTTCATTTGATTGTTAAGTTCAGACTTACCTATGAAGCAAAGAGAATTTGCCTTTGGGAAGTTATAAGCCTGAGTTCATAAGCCTTGGTTTTTTAAATTACTTTACCTAATAAGGAACAATATTCCGAAGTCATCGTCATAACTTAAATTTTAAATAGTAACAGATTACTCTGGTTTAAAAATAACCAAGCATTGGCAAATTAAATGTCATTCCTGTGTATTTGTCATTAAGGTTCTAAAAAGAACATCTCTTAAGCTTTTTGGCGGTCAAATGTATTATAGTACCAGTAATTTAATCATGAAAGAAAAAAATAAGCTTTTTCCTCTTTAGTAGCCATTGTTTTTTTTTTTTTTCTCCCCATAGTATAACTCTCATGAAGAATAAATTAGATCCAGAAGGATTGGGAATCATATTATTGGGTCCATTTCTTCAAGAATTTTTTCCTGATCAGGTAACATAACTGAGGAAATATATTATTTTCTTCTGTTGGTATGATTATCTGTGATTATTTTGCCATTTTTCCTACTTCTTTAAAATGACCTAATGTGCAAATATGAGACTGAAAAACTGTTATGTAACAACTTTGCCGTGCAGAGGTTGCAAGGGTGTATGTTTGCCAGTACAGCTATGCAGTGCTCTGAAGTAGTGCATTGATGCAGTGCACTGAGTGGTAGAGGGCATGTGTACACCATTTACACATAATGATGTTACTTTCCTAAAGGAGGATAAAATTACAACTTTGTAGAATAAAGAGATTCTCCTTCTCTACTCCCTGCCATCCATGTTCATTCTCTTAGGTAACTATTGTTAATACCTGGAAAGAAGGTCGAGGTGCCTATAAGTGGTAGTAAGTGCTCCTACCAATGAACCAAAGTTCCAGGAGAATTTCAGTTGAGTAGAATAAAAACTTTTGTTTTGTTTCTGTTTTGAAGTAGACAAAGCTGCACTGTTTCCTACTGGGACATGTCTTCTATTGGGCTTTGATCACTTGGTTATTGGGAATCTATGCTAGTCCTAAAACTCTTGTGTTATGTCTGTATTTTCTGTATCCTATGCCTCTTTTCTTCTTTGTTTCTTATCTAAGTGTTTTGTCACTGAACTGAATTATTTGGATAGATATTTTGTGGTCATTTCATCAGATATAAGCATAGTTTAAAATCCTTGATCCTATAAAAATGTCAGTTTCTGTTCCTCTATTATGAAAGAAATGACAAATAGAAAAATTGTTTTTAAAAAGATAAGGGGAAAATCTTAAGATATATTTATTTAATTTCAAGATATAATTGTTAATTTGATATCTGATTGAAATTATCTTCAACAGAGTAGACAGTATTATTGGCATTCAGTCTCACGAGTTAAAAAGGGGGCACATATTTCCTAAACCTTTATCTAGACTTTACAGTTATTATGAGTAAAGAGTAAAAAGGTAAAACTCAAAAAGCAGCTGAGGATATCACAGTAAGCAGTTGCACTTCTTTAAATGTTGGTAAATGCCTCATGAAAAATATAAGTTCATTTTATTTTCTGGCATTATTGGAAGGATACTCTTGGATTATAGTATCCTATTTGTCCACATTCCAACTATTAGGGTTTTTTTTAAAGTTCTTTGAATCTAATGTGGTGCTTTAGGAAGCAATAATATTAATTTTACTCTTAATTTTATTCCAAGAAGTCTTCTATCAGAACATTTGATAGAAATAATTGATTTCTTAATTTTAAATGGAATAATAGTCCTGAGGGTTTTTCTTTTTTTTAAATTTTGGGAATATTTTGAAAGGGGCTTGTACAAACTGAGACAATTCTTTTGGAAGTACATATTTTATATTTAGTTAATTTAGTGTAAGTTAATGATGCTTATAATTATTATAACAACTTATTAGTTTAAGAAATTGATACTTTAATTGTAGCATTCCTTGAGGTAATAAAAGAGGGCTCCATTTCCTTTCTGTTTTTTGCATAAAGCAGACTTTTCATTTGGTTGTACTGCTTATTCCCTTTTAGTTTCTCTTACTGTTGGTTTATTTCCCTGCTATTCTGAACAGACTCTCCATCTGAGCCTAGTTTGTTTCATTGCTCCAGTATGGTTCATGCTCTTTCCTTACTTACAGCCTGTAACCCTATTATGCATCTCCTGTAGAGCAAAGGATTCTCAAAGTGTGGTCTCTAAGAATTTGTTTGATATGCAAATTCTTAAGTTTCTCCCCAGATCTAGTGAATTAAGAACTTAGGCGGTGGGGCTTAGCAAGTCTGGTTTAAAAGCCCTCCAAATGATTCTGATGGAATATAAGTTTGGGAACAACTGCCTCAAGGGAGAACCTGTCCCATCCTTACTTCTTCACATCTTGCAAGAGCTCAGATCCCCTGTGACACAGATCATTTATGATTGTGGCCTGCAGTACTAATGACCTCCATCTCTGTTATCAAACAATGTATAGTGACTTTGTCACTCATTTTCGCTGTTATTCATAGTACTACTTTGTACCTAACAGATCAACATAATGGTTACTCAGTAAACATTTATTTAATTAGCAAGGAATAAATGGAATAAAGTTGCAAAACTGGAGTCAAGAAAGACAACCAGCTAGGAAAATATTTATCTAACTTCAGTAATCTTTACAAATGCTTCAAATAGTTCAAACAGAAGAGCATTTCCTTACTATGAGCAGAAGCTGATCAGGGAAGTGGGAATATTCATAAACTTTTCAAGGCAATTTATTTATAATAATAGAAGAAGCTGTGATTTATTAAATACATACTATGTACAGGGCACTATGTGCCTTATAAATTAAGTGCTATTATTTCCCCATTTTTGGCAATGAGGAAAAGGGGGATTAGAGAATTTAAGAAAACTGCTTAGTCATACAACTATTAAGTAGTTTGTCTAAGAGCCTGACATAGGTCTGTGTAATCCCAGAGTCTAAACACTGCCTTTTATAGATGTTTCTATATTTTATGTCAATTTTACTGGAGCTAGAGAATATAAATTATATTAAATTATCATAAATTGCTTATTTTTAACTTAAGTTCTGAGAACCAAGACCCAATAACTCTTCTGAGTAACAAATTGCATTGGCTTATGTATACAATTAAGGAAAAGATGAAACTTTTCTATTTGGTGTATTTTGAGTGGTTTACAAGAATATAAAAGAGCTTAGATTTTAGTTGGGAGCACAAAAGTTGAAAAGTTAAAAATTTAAAGTCTTTCAAAATAATAGACTAGATGATACAAAGTAGTATATGATTTATTCTTTAATTATTCATACAACTTTTATTTATAAAGCTTCCAAAGAAATAAACCAACTAAATATGTTCAGGAAAAGCTTTACAGAGAAAGTAAGATTTGAACCAGGTCTTGCAAATGAGAAAGGAGGAAGAAGAAGAGGTATTTTAGAAAGGAGTAAAAAGATCATGGCTGTACAAAAGGCCAAAAAAAGATCTTTCCTATGAAAATGAGACGTATACTTGACTAAAGCAGAGAATTCAGAAAGTTGAGTAGTAGTAGATAAGAATGAAAAGGTAGATTAAGTCCCATATTATTTTAGAATTCTTGATTGCAAATCACTGAACATCACCGAATACCAGCCTGAATTCCCACTTAGGGGAAAACACATAAATGAGAAGGCACAACTCAAAGGAATTGCAGAAGCAAGCACCAAGAAGGGGAGGTGGCTCTAGGAGCCTCAAAGACTGAACAGAGGCCTTGAGCGCTGCCTGGAGACTTCATCTCCCTCCTCTGTAAAGTGGCTACATTCTCTCCATCGTTCTCTAGGAGCTTGCTGCCCTTAGTTCCAACTGGAACAATTCCTAATGAGGGACTCTGGCTCAGCCTGGTCTCATGTCCATCCTTGAGTACATCAGAAATGGCCAGGAAGAAAAAGAGGTTAGATACAGAAGACTTTCTGTAATTCCTGGGATCCAGGAACCTTCAGTGGGGCTGTACAGTCAGTGTCCTTGAATGCTAGGTTAGGAGAATAGAACTTGGATGGTTAAGAAATTGAAAACCAAGGTTAAGATAGTGAGAATGGCATAGTCTTTTCTGCAAATTTACTCTGATAGTGATTTTTCATCTATCCTTTATTGAGTGTTATTAAGGTTTCTTTAAGCACTATATGTTTTCACTTTGCTCTTTTCACCGATTAACAGTTGACAATATTTTTCATGGAAACTCCTAATTCAATAGTGTAGACCAAATTCATATATATTTGTGATCTGAGTAAAAGTGGTACTTCTGTTCTTCCATATTTATTAGGAACAAATTATTTACAAAAAGAGAAGGCAGAAATGTGTTTTAGGAAATATTTTTTGTGTTTTAGAAACTTGTCCTTTAAAACCTGAAAGTAGTACATACATATAGTTAAGTATATAATGAATTCAGAGATCTTATCAGCAGGTCCTTATTTCTAGTCTCTTCTCCAGAAGCAACTTTCAGCTTTTGGGTTTTCTGGTTGTTAACTTTATACAAGTATTTTGCTTTTTCAAATGATTCCTAATGAAAGGATGAGGATTTAAGAAACTTGGATTTCATTTTCACTGCTAATTAGAAATTGCCTTATATAAAGATACACAGTTTTAATAGTAATCTATTTATAATAGGGCTCCAGTGGTCCAGAATCATTTACTGTCTACCACTACAATGGACTGAAGCAATCAAATTACAATGAAAAGGTATGAGAATTCACATATTAGTCTGTCTTTAAATACATATACAAGTATATAACAATGTCGGATTCCCCTACAGTTGCTACCTACCAAGGTTATCTCAGGAATCTCTTTTCTACCACAACATGTTTTAGTATTGGTCATATTCAGTTTGACTAATATGTAGTACTCTGCCTACATTAGATTATGGAGCAATAGTTTCACTGTAACAAAACAACTACATCTGCATCTATAGTGTTACCTTGGGCTGTGTATGTATTTCCAAATCAGCATTTATGGTTAACCCATTGAAAATTTTTACTGATCCATTTAAATGCAGAAAGAGGTCACAGTGAGATTTTTGAGAAAAAATATTTTAAAGGATTAAAATAACCATGATGACTAGTTTTTACTGAAAATTTACTTGGAATTGGAGTAAATACTCTGCTTTATCTCAAGTTTCACACCATCTTATGAAGTAAGACATGTGGTATGTCTATTATGTTTGCATTTATTCAAGTAACAGTCATAGTAGCTATAACTAACATTAGAAGGAATAGTGCTTACCATTCCTGTTTCATTTGATCTGTACATGCTGGTTTCATAAGTGTCTAAATTGGAGAAAGGCTCCAGAAAATAGAACATTATGAAATTAGATACATAGTTTTAGTTAAGTCAAAACTAAAAGAATAAAATTTACTTTTATTTTCATAACAAAATATAAATGAGAAAATTTATTAGGTCCAATAATTTATTGATATATATAGAGAGAGAGAGAGAGAAGGAGAGAACATAAATTATCAATAAGAACACTTGGATGCTATTTCTTAATGTGTGTTGATGAGTGCTTCATCTAGACTTTGAGGTTTTGCAGAGCTTTGTAATAGGTACTTTATAGTCACTAAATAGTTACACAATCCCTGCAAGGTAGTCAGTCAAATATTATCCATATTTTACAGATGAGGCCTCTGAGACAGGGAGATTAAGTGACTTATCCAGAGTCACACAGCAAGTCATTGACAGAGCAGGGATTGGAACTGAGTTCCTGATTCCCAATCCTGTCCTTGGTCTGCTTGGCCACGCTATAGTAAGTTTTCGAATCATGCTTGTGACAGGTGTCTGACCTACTAACACAAAGATCAGAAATCAAAACAGATGGACTGTTAACATGGCAGTAGTATATAACAACTGTAAAGCAACGCTTGTGTGTCATTAAGTTGCAGAAGTATAATGTGGTGAAGTCACTAAGGAGCTAGAAATGTGATAGAGGGCATAGTACAGGACTGTTGAGAACATCCAAAGAAGCAGAGCTGAGCCTGAGCCAGGCGGCAAAAAGCCGTCCGAGGCACCAGAGACAGCTCAGGACTGTGCTGGCACTTCTGCTTTAATGCTGGGAGCTACTGAAGTTCTAGGACCTGTCTTCTCAAGCAAAATAACTTGAGTTACAGTCCTTGTAGACAACTTTTCAAAGAGAAGCACTTTTGCTTTGAGTAAGTGAAAAGTGGGAGTCATAGTTGTAATAGTAAGTTTATTTCATTATCAACTTATTTCACATTAAAGAATGTCTTTAGACCTTTCTAAAAAATAAGATTTATGAAACCAAATTTTCTGACCTAGTAATAAAACATGCTCTGTTGCTATATCTAAATGTTGATTGTTTTGACTCCTCACTCAAATAGCTTATGGTTTTTATATTGGAAGAATATAATTAAATCATATGTTTGTCAGCCATTGAATGTGTAAAAGGTAATTATACATACATTGGAAGAAGGCAGTCTATATCCATTCCTTTTAAATTATATAGAGTTGGAATCTCTCAGTGCAAAAAAAAAAAAGTTATTTAATGTACACAGTGTGAGCCCTTGGTAATGAGTAAGGGCTTTTGTTGGTATGTTCTGTCATAAATCCTTCTAAGTATTTGCTTTTAAATCAATGAAACCAAAGTAAATATTTTCCAGTATCTAACTGCCAGTTCATATTTAATATGGTAATTGCCCCTGCATATAAAGTATTGGTTAGGTTGGTTATCAACCTCTTTCTACTACTTGATTTTTGTTTCTGTCTTTGCATCCTTTTGATTTATTTTTCTCCATTTTTCATGCTGTATAACATATACTCATGAACTGCATTTCAGAAATATTTAATATATGACAGCAAATTGTCTTCAAGTCTGGAAAGTCAGTCCATAAATTCATAGCATATTACTGTATTTGTCCTGTGGCTTCCATCTCATGAGGGGTCATGTGGATGCCATAGTATCACAGTAGTAGGAATTACATCAATTATATATATCCAGTAATTAGCTTCCTTGAAGGGTATGTATCATCCAAAGACTGACTTTCTTTTTATCAGAAACAGTTTCTGTTTTGTGATTCACATGTACTCACTGGTTAGCTAGCAATTAAAATTTGTATGATTGTTTTGTCTGTAAACAGATATTCTTCATAATTTCTGTCAAAACAAATTTACATGTGAAGCTCCACATGAAATCACATGTAATTCCTTATTTGCTAGCCTATAAGAATATTAATTGACTTTAGTGACTTTTTCTTTCCCAACAGGTAATGTACGTGGAAGGGACTGCAGTGGTTATGGGTTTTGAAGATACTATGCTACAGACGGATGACACTCCCATTAAACGCTGTCTCCAAACCAAATGGCCATGTATTGAATTACTCTGGACCACAGATCGCTCTCCTTCACTAAATTGATTTGCCTACTGTTTATAAGGAAGATTGTAGTAACAGATGTTGAAAGGGGAATTCATGACTGGCAAATGGCTAAATTAAGCTAAACACTGGCACCACTGATAAGCTGTAAATAACAATTAAAAACACATTAGTGTTTAAGATATGTTTAAGTTATTTGTTTTAAAGCTTTATGTTAAAGGTTACCCTATTTTAACCCTTATGTGAAATTAACTAGCAAAATTAAGCTTTAATCAAAGTTTGTTACTTAACAGACAGATAATTGGCCATTTATCAAATTACAAGCATCATAATAGTATGTAGCATTTTTAGAAAAGAATTAAAGTCACTATTTATAAACTTCTGTTTGGGGGTTTTATTTCATTTGGGCCCATACTATTTGAGTGATTCTAACTTA